TATATAGGCCTAAGGCACCTGACTGCTAACCAGAAGGCTGGCAGTTCAAACCCACCAGCCACTCCTCGGAAGGAAGATGGGTCCTCTACTTCCGTAGTGATACTGCCTTGGAAACTCAAGGAGGGGTCACTATGAGTTGGGTCTGTGAGTTGGGTCGACTTGACAGCACATAACATATATATATATGTGTGTATACACACACACACACACACACACACACACACACATATATATATATATACATATACATATTTGTTGTTGTTGTTTGGCATTGAGTCGGACCCGACTCCTAGCGACCCCTCTTTGGGTTTCTGAGGCGTTATCACTACAGAAGTAGATTGCCCAACCTTCCTTTCGAGGAGTGGCCGGTGAGTGTGAACTGCCAGCCTTCTAGTTAGCAGTCAAGTGTCTTAGGCACTACGCTACCAGATCTCCTATGCTACCAGAGGTTATATATATATATATATACACACACACACTCATACTTACCAGGGGTAGGAGAGGGGGGGAAGGGGAAGCTTTTGTTTGGGGGGCAATGACTTTATGCTAAAAGGTGGTGGAATATTTTGAAAAGATAGCAATAATGGTGGCACAACATGAAAAATGTAATCATTGTCCCTGAACTGTAAATGTGGACGTTATGTTGGCAAACATATATCTTGTTATGTATGTTTTCACCACAATAAAAGTTAAAAAGAAAAAAGAAAATTAATTTGCTCTGTAAACTTTCACCCAAATCACAATAAAAAGTTTACATAAATAAGGAACTGCTTTTGCTCTCAATAGCCCAAATCAGGAAGAACAGTATATGTGAAACATTAAGCTGTTATCTGTACATAGATAAAATCACATTGTCTTTAATTCATTGTGACAGACCTTGCAATTTTTCATATATTAAAATGTTTCACTGTATCAGAGAACATTTCACACTATAAATAGAGAAAAGGTAGGAAAATTATTCAAAATTCAATATAATTAACTCAAAATAGTAATAATAATAAGAGATCTACACCACTCAAAGAACAAATAAAAGATCATCAAGTTCTCAGCCAAACTACTAAGAAGCTCCAACAAGACACTCAGACATATCCATAATCCACTGGAGTCTGAGAGCCAAATTCAGCTGGCTCACTTCTTAGCTTCCTGATCTTGAGTAGTTAAAGTCACTGTCTGTTATGTTTGTTCCCATGATAATTTTAGGTGTATGTATATGATGTTGTTTTCAGTGCCTACCTGCTTGTTCATCAGTCCTTTGGCCCCCAGACATGCAAGCACTCCTTCAGGTTAGCCTTACTCCCTTACCATCACTTCACAAAATTGCCAGGAATTTCCACAGTCTGAAACAGATGAATGAAGCAACAGATGTCATTCAATGAATGAAGCATCAATAACTTCAAAAAGGGAGAAATGATGCAAAGCATTCCTCAGAGAGGGAAATAAGAGAAGTACAAAAATGAAGCATTTTGAAAAATAACATGTGGTTAGGAGGCCTGTTGATGTCAGAAAAAAGCCATTAACCTCAACACATTATGACTCAGGTTATTGACTCATGAAAAAATAAAAGAAAACATGAATCTTTTGTAAAGGGGAACACTGGCATACTTAAGATCACTCCCCTGGGTGGAGATTTAACACTATAATGAGACATACAACTGCCATTTTTATATCTTTTGCTGCATGTGTGCAGTGTAGTAAATTACATGGTATGGCTTTTCTAGTCATAGTCTTTGTAACTCCCACTTTGCCATGAGCAACTGAGTACC